CTTGCTTGTAGCTCGCTTATTACCCGAAGTGCTCGTAGATGGAGCTGCTCATCACCCGAGGCTCCACTGCAATTCGAGTCTAGTCTAGCATTGTGGCAGATCCTCAGTTGTGTTACATAAAGCGAGGACTGACCAGATGTCATGCACTCCACTTACTAAATACCTGAGGTTGGATTCATTCCAAGATTATATAATAAAAGAAGGGTCGTTGTGAAACGGAAACACGTAAGGTTCCCTCGCTTTCAAGTCATCACATTGTTATGCAAACCCGTTCATCTATGCCCCAGACACTAGTGCAACAATCCTAACTGTTACTGTTTATTTTATCTGACGGGGAGATCATGTAACAAGCTCGAAAATTTGCAAGTACAACTTATTTTTTTCCGATAGGCCTTATCTCTAATTTCCCTGACTCTACATCTATTCTGATACCTTATATTTGCAGTGGAAAACACTTTATCGTTTCGTCTCTCAGCACAAAGTTAACTAAACTGTGTTGTCGTAGAAGAAACCTGTCTATATTCACTAGGCCTGTCTCGTCATCTTATTTAGCATATCCTTTCATGAGCCAAAACAGTGTACTTTGTACATAAAGCCATGGTAAACATGCAAAGTGCTTGTTTCGGACGATATCCTGCATATGTTTAATGATGGTTTTTACTGCTGCATTTTGGTGTCCTTCTTCATTAGCACATTTCTCATGTTGCCGTGATTCCGTCTCTTCTGCTGATGTCTACTCTAGCTCGCACAGGGACTTGAACGAGGCCGATCGAATCGCGAACCATCCATTTTAATATGGGATGTGGTCAACTCTACTGGCACGAGCCAATCTGCGAACTATTTCTTTCCACCTACTGGTTGTCCCTCAGCACCATGTATACCGGAGTTGGCAAACACCAATCATCCAGCTGAGATGCTACTCAACTATGGCCAGCGAATGAATTCAGTTTTCGGTTTAGATAAGACTTCGAATTCACCCGTTGCTATGTTCTGTAACAGGCCACTCTGTGATGCTTGTAAGTGGTGAACATTTATGACGTAACGTATTTTTCTTAACATTTGTATAGCATAATATTTTCGGATGAGTGGTATGTTTTGTATGGAGGACAGTAACCTTCAAGTACTTAGGTTGTATCATGCATATTTTTTGACTTTTTTTTATAAAAGTCAAGCCTTTAGCAAGTTCCTTTGTCACCTTATCCCCCGTCTTCGTCTAGAACGCCGCTTTTGCGCACCAGCCTATTGATTCAATTTAAGCTGGGCAGGTGGTGCGACCAACCATATAACTTCACCAAGGCCTGTTTTCATAACTCATACCAACAAATTTCAGCCGCAGTTGGCTCTATGTTCTACCGTTTCCGTGCTGCCAAGATTCTTTTTAACGTGGATTCCGTGAGCGTCTTCTGGTCAGTCGGCTTACTATATCCGTATCGGTGGATTTCATACATGCAGTAGGCTGGGTGTGATTAAATTCAAGGCTTCCGGCGTGTCTTCGTAGTTCAATTGGTAGAGCTTTGGGTGTACTAAAGCCTTCATTGCTGATGTGGGTTCGAATCCCACCAAGGCTACGAATCTTTTACAGTTGGGTCAATTTAATTATTCAAATTTGCCAAATCTAGCGTGTAAAATAAATTCACTGTACCGTCGATAAGTTTAAATTATTCTTACAACGTCTCGCATTCTTATTGATCAGGTATGGATGAAGTTTGCGTCCATAGTGGTTCGAGGCGACAATATTCCCTTAATTGCTCTCCGAAGGCCCTCTTAAACACGGGTTCTTGCCGTAGTCGTTAAAAATGCGGGCTGCATGACGCCCCACTATCATTTTTGCATACCTCTGTTCAGAAGAAGTCGTAGCGTTCACCGGAATCGTAACTTAATTCATCTGAGCTTTCGGGCTCTTGCGGGAGTCCATCGTCAGAGATAAACCGTCAACCGTCATACCTCTGTTTCTCGTACTTCATCGAGTTTGACGAATAACGGCACAAGTCGTCGGGATTTAATCATAGATCTTCACCGTTTCAGTTTTAGCAGCATCAACTTGTGCTATCTTTTACGGGAGTTTCATCTCGGGGTTAGTTCCCATTCCCCCGGCTTACCAAAATATCACCCCATTTCCACGCCTCAGTTGCTTTGATGGCAGCCTACCAGGCTTCTGTCCGTGGCTCAGTGGTACGACGTTAAAGTCACAAACCCTTGTAAACTCCATTTGAACGGTGCAGGTATGCATGAAGAGTAGTTAAGTTGCAAAACATATGTACAGATCGCTTTAG